TTCTATTAAATTCCATACCATATCATAGGATTTCATAACATAACATGGCATACCATTACATACCACATGTATTTCGGTACGAATACATACCATTCCATAATTTCCCAGACAGAGCCTACCACTCCACACACACACACACACACACACACACTAAATCCATATTTGTAGCACTTCATTTACGACAAATCAATTAGGAATCCATTCATTCATCAATACTTAATGAACATCAAGTGTATGCTAAGCCACTGTTTCAGGAATCAGAGGCAAACAGGTAAGGCACTTGTGTGTCCTCAGTGTTTTCACAAAAGGGAGAGGAATGGAGGTTTGTGGTAGCTCAGTCCTGTAATCCTAGCACTTGGAAGGCTGAGGCAGAAGATTGGCAGAGCTCCAAGCCAACCTGAGCTATGGAGTAAGACACTGCCTCAAAAACTAAGAGACTGCAGCATGTTTGACACTGGGTAGGACACCTGTATCAAACCTCTGCCATCCATGGCTCAGAGACCGTGGCAGAAAATGGAACAGAAAGATTGTAAGAGCCAGGGGTGGTGGATGACCCCGAGGAAATAGAGTCTTCCAGGCTTCTAGGAACTTGCTCATATGAACTTACAGCAATGGTGACAGCATGCCAAGACCCATGCAAACTCACACCAGACAAAACACCAGCATAGAAGTGGAAAAACGAGTAAGAAGCCCAACCTTAGCTGAGGGACTGTTGGCAACTGATGACTACTGGTGAGCAAGAGCTAGTTTTCCTTAAGGGAGTGAGGCTAGTTAAGTTGACCAGGCTCCAGTGGAGGGACTACTACACCAAAGGACATCTGGGGACACAAACTTGACTTGATAGGCCTTAACATATACGACAGAATGCATGAAACCTGGTGGGAGGGGCTATAGAGGTTGCATATAGGGGAGGGGTCTCTAAATATGATCAAGACGTACTGTATAAAATTGACCAAAAAATCAATAAAAATTATTGATTAAATAAAAGCAAGCAAACAAAGGCACAAAAATAAAAGAGGTTGATGTGGTAGTCCCAAGAAGAGGGTTACAAGACACCCCCCCCAGGAGGCGCTAGTCAGTTGAGAACCAAAGCTCAGGGAGATGGTAGAAAGCAAAGAATCCTAAGGGCCTAGCTCTGTATTTAGCAAATGTCCTTCAGTTATAAAATGTTTCTGAAAGGCTCATATATTAGAGGCTTGGTACCCAAAGCAGTGTTCAGAAGGGGGGCTTTGGGAAAGTGATTGGATCAGCTGGGCTTTCACTTAATCAGTGTGTGACACTACTGATAGATTCAGGAATTTGATGAACTTATTGAAAGGTCTTAGAAACTAGGAGGGGGTGGAAGAAGTGGTTTTGAACTCTCTATCTCTCTCTCTCTCTTCCCCCCCAAAAAAAAACCCCTCCTTCCTGGTTTCTGTGACATAAACAGCTTTCCTCACTTTGGACCCAGAAACATGGAGCCAAGTGGACCATGAATTGGGATCTCAAACAGTGAGCCAGAGTGAGTCTTTCCCCTTTCAAGTGTTTATTTAGGGTATTTCTGTCACAGTGATAGATAACTGGCCATCACATCACATCAAAGGGATGTGATGAGTGGGTGGATGGGTGGAGCATAAAAGAAATAAAACACTTGGGACCACAAAACTCATATTTACCATGAAAAACTAATTTGGATCATTCTAAAGCTGGTTGATTCTAGTTTAAGAGCTTCCTTTTTTTTGATCCATCAACATGTGGAACCATAATTTAAAATTCTTACTATTTATTGGCAATTATACACAGAAAAAAACTGCTTGAAATGTGTTAGATCATGATCACTGCTATCTGTAAATACTCAGTAGCTTTGAGACCTGAATAAATTACCAAATAAATTTTTAATTTAAATAGTGCCCTGGCAATCTCTTAGGGGGCACTAAATATGGGAAAAAATGGATTAGGTGATGTAACATTCAAATACATTCTACTCAGCTCAAATTCTGTAAGTTAAAGCAAAGTTAGAAAACATTCACAATGCTAGTTAGTGTTAATCTTTAAAAATAAATGAGAATTTGTTTTGCTCTTGTAGTTAGCTGAGCTGTTTGTGCCTTTTCTCATAACACTGTTTTTCATTCACACATAACAACCTTCACACCGAACAAAGTTATTAAATTTATACTGTGATATTAATTTGTCATTTGGTAGAATGCACATCTTTTCACTGTTATTTGAAATATAGTCAGTACTGGCCAATAAAATCCAAGGGCATTGATTTCTGAGACTCCCAGGAGAAAGGTGATATATAAATCATTTGATGATTCTGAGAGTTCATATGAAGTAGAAGACCATGTTATGCTTTGGTGTGAAATGTCCCCACAGACTCATGTATTGGGAGCTTGGTTATCAGCTTTGGGGAAACATGATTGAGCTCTGACCTAATCAATAGATTAATCCCTTGGTGGATTCATAATAAGACGGTATTATTGGGAAGACGTGAAAGTCAGAGATGGAGTGCAGTTGTAGGAAGTAGGTCACCCAGGGAGAATCACCGGGGGCACGTGGCTCCCTACCGCCTTCCAGTCCTCTTGTTCTTTTCCTGTATGTCATGAAATAAGCGGCCACTGCCACATGCTGCCATACCAGGATGCTCTGCCTCATTAGAGGCCCAGAAACAACAGAGCCATCCATAAAGGACAGCCAGAAAGCTCTGACACCATGGGCTAAAATAAAGCTTTCCTCCCCTTAAGTTTTCATGTTGGGTATTTTGTAATAACACAGTCTAACACAGTCAAGAAGGTAGGAAGTCTGAAAACCTAAAATTTATTCTTTAGCTTGGGGGGGGGTATACTGAGATTGAGTCTCACTGTGTAGCCCAGACTATACAAATTCAAACTCACAATTCTCCTACCTCTGTCTCTTTACTGCTGGGATTACAGTTGTGCACCACCACACCAACTCCTGACCATGGCGTTTGAGGTTACAGAGAACACTTAATGTCTCTATTTTCGGATTATTCATCTGTAAGCAGATGTGTAATTACTGAGGGAAACTCCATCTCTAACATCCCACATTCTATAGTTATGTATGCAGTTGTAACTATAATTACATTAAAAAATAGTAAAACCAATAAAGAACAAGAAAGTATACCTTCTCAATCAAATATGGAATATTGAGCAGATCAGAATAAGAGAGGAGATATGAATGAAGATACAGCTCTGAAATTTTTTAAATGTTAAATGAGCAAAAATTTATAGTTCTAAATTGGAAGTTTTAACTCAAACATGTAGCTTTATGCAGTATGTTTACATACCAAAATAAAAGGAACAGTTAAGTTTTTTATTCTGAACCATGAAAGTGAACTTGAGCTATACATCTTGAGAAGGAACTTTGCTTCTTGATACATATCTACACACTGGTGATTGGTTTTACAAAAACTGATATTACTGGGTCTGGAGAAATGACTCAGCAGTTAAGAGCACTTGCTGCTCTTGCTGAGGACCTAACTTTAGCTCTTCTCTTTTTTTCTTTTTTTATTTATTATTTTTATTTTATGCATATAAGTGTATTGTCTGCATTTATGTAAGTACACCCCTGTCATGCGATGCCTGAAGAAGACAGAAGAGGGCATCAGATCCCCGGGAACTGGAGTTACGGACAGTTGTTAGCTGCCATGTAGGTGCTGGGATTCAAACCCGGGTCATCTGTAAGAACAGCCAGTGCTCTTAACTGCTGAGCCATTTCTCCAGCCCCCATATTTCTCTTATTTTTCTATCTGGGCATATTCAAATGAAGCTGGCCTCAATTTTCTCACATACTATAAAATAAATTAATACATCTGTTGAAAGTTAAATAAACCATAAAATCCAAATCCATTAAGAAAAAAAATAAAAAAATTTAGAGGTTAACCATTCTCTATAAGGATCCAAGAGCTATAGTAAATAACATTCACTATCTCTTCCTTAGGTTTTTAAATTAACATAAAATCATAATAAATTAGGAAAACTCATTTTTAACTTGACAAGGAAGACTTACTTTAGGTAAAACTAACTAGGGAGCTATAAGACGTTTCCATTTAATAACAGGATTTTTTCTATCTGTTCTTCACAGTTCTAAAATTAACTGTGTATTGAAAAACAAAAAAATGATGTGTAGGGGGAAGTGATGAAAAGAATTAGGATGGAGATGTACCTCAATAGTACAGAGTTTGTCATGCATACACGAAGTCCGTGGTTTGATGCTCAAGACTACAAAAAATTTTGAGTGCTTAAATAAAACCGCATTCAACAAAATAATCTAAATATATGGAAATACTAATA